TGTTGAAGTTAGCCGCTTTGTAGTAAAATTCCCGACAATGTGGAAGATTCACCACGTATCAAGCTAGTCTAATATCTGTAAGACAGTCACTGTACCATGTTCGTGTTTAGCTTGCAAAGGCAATCACCTAAAATTTACTTACTTTCCGATGTGTTTAGGCAAATCGATGTGAACGGATAATAGCTTAACCTAACAGTATGCTTTAAGCGATCTCATAGAATGGCTTACCTTCAGTATTTTATTTTCTCAGTGCATTAGTATAGCAAGAACCAGGGAGCCTCAAAATGAGAAAACCAAAGTATAATTTAATCAAACCACCGCTCTTTGTGGCACTACTATAACCGAAACTGGCAGTCGAAATAAGCTCACTGTTAGCCAATCAGAACCGAGCACAATAGCCAATCAGAATGCGACATTTTTAAAAAGTGCTAATGCAGAGAAACTTGTGAAGCTGTGGAAAAGTTTAATAAGAATAAGTTTGTGAAATATCATTGAGTCAGAGTAAAGCTGTACAGGTCCGAATAAGCTACTGCCTCCAAAAGGTGTAAACGACTACAAGGAGCCACAATATGACAGGTTTGCAATGATTGTATTGGTAAATTTATTGTTAACATTCCAAATGATAAAGGTTAGGACCGCTATAAACTTCCCCTCGGATAAAGTCTGTGGCCTTAATTGCACGATGGAGAAGGGAATGCGGTTCGCCATAGTGCGCTGAATGCATCTGCGCACTTTGGGTTAGTAGGCTGCGGTAGAGACAGGTATGAATTTTGCAATACAAGCTCTTTTGTCGCACTGATTCCGTTTCATGTGATATTTATGGCCACAGAGATCATAAAAAAGCAATCGACATTACCTTTGTGATGGGGAGTGGCTACTCTGGCCTTCCACGATGTGTAATCGCCTTTAATTTCGATTCGCATCTGCCGTTGTAAACCGATTTTACTTTAATCACCTGTCTCACGGTTGGGTGATGGAGCTGACCTTAAGTTTGGTAGGTAAACTCCCTTCAGAGTGATTACATTATTCCCTTTAGGCTGCTTCCAATCTTGGCAACCGTTAGAGTGATGGGGCAAGAGCAGGAGGTTGATGGCGCATGTTCCAAATCCTAAAATCTACACAAGAACGAACTTAAGCCAGAATCAAATAGACCGTAAAGGCCGCATCGAATAGGCCATTCGTGGGTCCATAATTCCTGATTTACGCTGCAATAAATGTTAGTAACGTTTTTTTTTGCTGTATGTATGACGAGGAAAAGGCATTTTATTAGTTAAACGCCTACTTCAACTTCGATTTTAATCTGGATAAGAACTACTTTGTGTTGTAAAAAGGGTTTTTTAGCTGAACAAACCCACTCGGCTTAGCGCAGCCATTTGAGGCACACGACAGTTTGACACGGCTGGAAGAGTGAAGGTGCTGAATGAAGAGCGTCCGTTAAAATACGACCAGCGCTACCCACCGCAAAATAGCAATCCCTTTTTATATTGAGAGAAATGAGCAAGTAAGCCAGACGAAATTTAGTTTAATACATTTTTATCTGCTTTCTACAGCCTTATCAACAATTATACCACAGACATCTTCATTACAAATCACAAAACTCATTGTAACTTAATTTGGAAAAAAGTGTGTGGAGGGCGAAGAAGGTGAAGAGGGTAATGCGATTGGTCAGCTATGGTAAAAATATTCTACTGCCTATCTTCTTTAAGAGCTTCCGTTTTGAAGAAAGCCAGTCTTCCTAAAAGTTTTTTTTTCTCTTTTTCAAATCAAGATATCATTTGAGTTCATGGTTTTACCAAAAGTGGAGGCATTGCCTTAGATCAAGAATGCATGAGCTATTTGCGATGATGAATTTGTTATTTTGTTTGGGTGATGGGGAAAAGACCGCATACCCACCTCTGACGTATCTATGTGTTTTCGACAGGCAAGTAAACAAATGATGACAATACAGACACCAGAGGAATATGTCCATTACTGCAGACTCAGACTTGAACTTATTCGCTAGAAATGTAACGCAATAGTATTAGGAGAGCTTGGAGGCTCCGCTGTTCCCCTTTCCCATGGTGCCCCAACCTATGAATAGTGTCAATAGCTCATATCACTTCTTTAGATCAACAATACATGTTGTGTCCTCGATGAAATTTAGAGAGATTTTGAGACACTGCATCGGAATAAGTTGAAAACGACTAAAGAAAACATGTGACAATCTCTAAGGGGGAGGGGGTTGGCTTGATAACAGCATCCTCCTTCAATAGCTAACCTATGCCTTGTAATCCCCAAGACAGGGAATAACAACTAAACTGACACTATCGGCACTGGACATTCCGTAGCGGAGCTGTCCACCTCACTATTGTAAACAAGCGCGCCCCTCTCGCCCTCTCCACCAGTCGGTGAGGTGGGCAGTGCTGGAATGCAGAACAAGTAGCAGAAACGGGTAGTCATAAAACTCTAGCCTTAAGGCACGATTTTAAACTCTGCGTTTTTCACATGATTCTATCTTCAGGTAGGTCAGTGTCCCCAAGGCTCGACGACAGACCCGCTGTCTCTACCAATAAAAAAAATTTTTTTTTTGCAAAAGACAAAACACCAGACTTGGGTAGATTTTGCGAGGCAGCAACGACAACGAATCCTCTCAGATGGACACTATTTTTACAAACACCGACTACATTGTGATGGTTGACAGGAAAGACAGCCCAGAAGAGCACTGGAGTAGACGCACATAGAGGAGGAAGGAGATGCTTTAGTTTGTTACAGAACCTTCGCCAAGCGACCGGTCATTCGACCCATGCCAATGGATTCAATCCCATCTCGGTGGAATAAAACCGGTAAAAGTAATGTTATTAATGCTAAAAATTTGGACATTTCAAGGTCTGTCAATTTTGGCTTGCTTAGATGGACAAGGAGTTGAGGAGTTCCCACACATCACAAAAAACCCCAACTGAAGACCTCAAGATAATGCATCGCCATCATTTTTTTTTTTAAACCATTCTAAAACCTTTTCACTTCACTATTGGACGACAATTCAATTTTTATACAAACCCAGAAAAGGCACATGTCGTTTTGAAATCTCTAGTAGAAAATATATCACTTATCGAGATGAAAATTTTCCTTTTTTTCTGAAGTAACATTTAATGAGTTGGCAAAAAAGGGCAACAAATTGGAAGACGTTTGGCAGGCGAACGAAAGCAAACAAAAATGGGAGATCGTTCATTTGCGTAGACACCACCCCTTCCCTTCACCTCTCGCCCTCTGCACCCCCTCCTCTCGTGGAGCAAGGCTTTTGGAGATGTCAAAAATGGAACACTATTTAAAAAAGCAAATTAGGTAATCAAATAAAATAGTAAAGCAGATTTGTTGAAATTTGGCGCACACGGACAAATGGTGAGTCACGAGATCCTATAAGGCCTACCATTAATAATGCATGCTCCAAGACTTTTTATGTCGGTGAGGACAAACTTCAGATTCCAATACACGCACCGTCTAGACAGTGTAACACAAGATCCAAACCGAGTTGAGTATGAGGAAGTTGTTGCGCAAGATAAGATCGCTATGCTTCCCAAGTGTATGAAGGTTCGAGTAGGAGGCGATGGAGAGTGTTTACTGTAGAGCCTTGACAATATCCAAGCCTTCAAAATGCCCTCCATCTCATCACTACTGGAAGGTTAAGTACATTACAGTGACTCAATTTACAAACTTCATTGCGCCCCAAATGGATGGCGACTTTAGCGCTTATCACCCAATGCCTTTTCGCCTTCCAGATAGGTAATTCTCAACTCAACTAGGACAGTTAAACGAGACAGGTAGATTTTAAATTGTTTGTCGCCTTCTTCACATGCAAGTGTGAAATGGTTTTCGCATAAGACGGAGATAATTTTAATGCTAATGACTGCCATACTAGAGCCTCAATTTTTTTTGCAAATAACAACCGACGACTCCGCCTTCCCATTTACAACCGTTTGTAAACAAACCATTTCCGCATCTAAGAATCGCTGTAAATTTCGGAGGCAAATTGACCAAAATACTGCTGAAAGTCATCCATAGAGGTGTGGGAGTCAAATAAAAGGGGGAAAGAACTGTTAACTCATCTAATAATAAAGCAATCAGATCATCGTGGTTAGGACTTCTCGATTCGACCTAAAATCCTTCCAAGACAGGTTTAAAGATTCCGTTTTATTAATAATGTGGATAAATGTTACTCAAACAAGAAAGAGCAAACCAATCGGACGGGTTGTAAAATTTTGACCACAAAAAAGGCAGAAGCCCTTGCGATAGCTGAATGCAACCAGTACAGAGACGTACGATTTCCTGAAATAGACTAGTGGACCAAAATTACAGTTAGAAAGTTACCCAGTCTCCAAAAGGAAATGCCTTCTTACGCTAGATTCATTAGCTTTCCCAAAGGCGGAGAAATAAACGTAATGAGGCATGAGATTCAGCAGTCATAAAAGCCTTTATTTTAAAAGGGACACAGCACCACTTAACTCATCTGGACAATACAAATCTTGGACCGTCATAATCACCAACCGTTTCCTTCGACATCATCTACAAAAGTAAAGACTCAGGCAATCAAAATTGGCTCTCGAGACACCATTGTTGAAAGCATTTTGCAAGAGCATATAAAGTACCTTCGGATAAATTAAGCCTTGGCTTCTCAACCGACTGGACGTTTCGTGCACCTCCGCGACGAAGCCTTGTGGACTGGCTTTTGCTTGATCTGGACTTCTTCTCCCCTAAATGATCCTTCTTACCCTTCTTAGGCACTGATACTGAAGTTGACCAAACAGAAGATTAGAAACACAACCAATAACGATCTAGAGCAGACATATGAAAGCCTTTTTCACCGTTAATTTCTGCACGCAGTCGTCGACCTTGAAACTTAAGGTTTCGTGCCCGTGCGAGAGCGGCTTGACAGATGACCTTCGTCTTGAAGGTTAAGATGGCGATGCTAGATAACATAGGGAAAGACGTACACAAGCAAACGGGCCAGATTCAAACCAAAATACAGCCCATTTACTCCACAAAACCATATATCAAAACTTTAGGAATACTGCCAGAAATGAAAAATTTGGCTCAAAACAGCAACTATGGATGTGTCTTTGTTGTCATCAAGTTGAGCCAGTGCCAACATGACATTCAAAGACTTCAGAATGAACTGTAAAGGTCATGATAAAGAAATTTTAAGCAGTCCATAGAAAAAAGCTTTCTGTTTCCGATTAAGGCCTCAACATACAAAAAAGAGGAAATTTTGGGCGATATTCAATGAAATCACACTGCTAAGCAAGGTGAAAAAAACGCAAACACACATAAAGCGCCTCGACTGACAGAAAAGTGTACTGCCGTGTCAATGATGCTACAATTTCTGTTTATAACGAGGCAACGATAATGCGTTAAACGTATTGAATGATAAGTGAGAAAGATAAAAATGACAGAGGCTTTAATAATGAAACAAGGTGCTAACAAAACTCGTACCGTGAAGTGTACAAAGCAATGCACAAAAGCGGAACGATGACAGACATGGGACGTAAAACAGTACATTCTTCAAAAAAGGTAATTATAGCAATAAGGATGACCGAAAATAAACGGATGTACATTTATCCAAGTGATAAAAGAAGTTCCGCAAAGGCTGTCAATCAAGTGAATGAGTTGGCATGATGGAGCTAAAAGCTAGGAGGAAGGGCTAAAGCTATCAAAGCTCTTCTTTTCAAAATCCGATCCCGCGTCAGCAAAGAAACGGAACTAAATAGCTGGAAACCCTGAAATACACATCTTTAAAACCTGAGCAAACCAACCAAGCGCGATAATTAAACTGTGCACACCACACAAAGCCCATAGAAGGAAGTCTTTTCCTTATCTGTTCTTTGTCAAGCAAGCAGGCGACAAAAGAGCGCTTTTAGCTAGCCGAATTTTGGTCAAAAGCACACCAATCATCTGCGTTTCCGAGATGTGTCCTAGAGGCACAAAAAAAAGGTGCAGCGAATAGGCACCTCGCCGCATCCTCAAAAAGACGAAATACTGCAAAGGACATACAGATCACGAAAGTGCCGTCTAGGTCTGAAAGTAGGAGCGTTTTAACAGTGCATCTCACAAATCTAGTTGAAAGAAACCAGGCTGCCGTTAGATAAAGATAGCTTAACGGTTGTGGTAAATACGTAGTGAATAATATCTCCTACCCGGTGGGCTTCCCTTCCTTGTCGTGGGGCAAAAAGATGTTCCGCGCTTTTGGGAAGGTCTTTTTAATCTCCTCTTCTTTAACACCGTAGGGTAGGTTGAAGAGCTTTATTTGTAAGCCCTCTCTGTCTCTTTTCGATAGCCCTGGAGTAAGCTCTTGCAACAGTTTGTCGTAGTCTCCAGGCGTTGCCCGACTGCAGAGGAGCCTCCTTCCTTCTATAGTCTCATCCCTACATACTGCCTCGGCTTCATCGAAATCGCTTTGGCTTCTGAAGACTGCTATGCATGATCTGGTGGATGAGCAGAATAAAAGTACGACGCGTTAACAGCTCTCGTTTTTGTGAGTGTAGATAATAGAACACCAACACTTCAAACGGGTGGATACGCCTTTAGTAGCACAGAAGAACCATAAAATCCCGAAAGGATCAGAGGAAAACCCAACAAATAGATAGTTCCACAAGTAGGTTGGCTACGATCTCCAACACATTCGTGGGTATGTAATTATGATGGAAAGCCAAAGAACATAAATGTACGTGTGGATAATCCTGACAGTAAATTGGCGAACCAACGTTTTTGCGTAGCGGTGCACCAATGGCATACGTCGCTCCAATAAAGTGAGAGACGAGAATAGATTTCCCTGGGGGATGGACATCCACAGAATGGACAAGTTAAGCAAAAAAGACCCATTATAGCCCAGGCGTCTTTTTTTGGAAATAAGGGATAAAAGTGAAACAGCCTACAAGATTTGAAAAATAGTTCAGGTAATTGCGGAATCAGCTAATAAATTTCTACTAACAATACGATTGTTTTTGGTGATTGTTCAATTATACGCTTTACATGCTTTGATATTGAAGGCTCTGCCATTGTGCTTCGGCTTAGGAGCTAATGACAAAGGTGTCATTGATGGGCCATAAGTGATCCGAATATGCTAATAGTAACTTACACAAAGATACATCAGAATAACTTTAAAAGCAAGTTAGCAAAGTTTAACTGAAGGGCGCAAATGGTGCTAAAGGACCGACTTTGGGAAGAAAACAATGATACACATTGTGCAATACTTCCCATCCTCCAACGGAGACATGCTAGCTTGATGCACATAAGAATAGATTAATGTCCCATTGAAATTACTCAGGCAACAATTTTCTGCAAAAGCCAACAAATGCTTACTGTCAAATTCCTCTAAATGACATAGTTTCCAGAGTTTGAAGGCTGTAGAATACCCGATGTACTGTCCATCTTGTAGCCGAACTAAACGAATTCGAACGGAAAAAGAGCCAAATGCCAACTTTACACACCCTAAACATAAACAGAGAAAGGTCTGGCTCGCGTGACTATGACAGAGTAAGAAAGCGATTCCTTGGATTCATATAATTACAATAGCAACCTTCTCTGAAAGGGGAACAAAACCAAAAGTCGACGTTAGCGACTTTTCCTTACACTACATTACCAGCACCTTAACTCCGAACGACAAACTTTAAGGCATTGATCGAGCCATCATACGATACCCTCAAGTGCATATAAGACGGTTTTGGTTGATCGAGAAATGCATCCGTTTTCGAAGTACCTTAGCTAAAAGTTGACGTCCGCTCAGAAGGAGACTCAAGAAAGATTTATTTCCATTTTTTTTTCCAAACGAAAGTACACAACAGCACAGCTATTTCCTCCTCTCTTTTTGTATGAAACTCAGATGCAAGAACAGGAAATACGCTGTCTCAGTTCTATGCACAGTGGTTTTGTTGAGTAGCAAGCTTCACTTGTCAGAGACTACTAAGCCCAATTCATTTTATTTTTCCTGTCCTCTACCTTTCGATAGATGCAGCATGCTGCGTGTTGTATAGCTCTACAAAAAGTCGAATTTTAATCTAAAGAATCACAGTTTTCTGAATGCACTGCCTGAACGCAATCCCGTACTTCGCTTGGGTAGTCTACAGTTCCGATGAATGAGGTTATATATTCGTGATTGCAAGATTACAGACTAGATTTAGAAATGATATTTCGATACGCAAAGTAGTCCTACCATTATTTTTCCTCATAAACAGAAAGACTGCATTCTTTATTGCCAGACCCATAATAAACTCAAGGAGAAAAAAGAAGAGGCTAAACGGCCACACAATCCACACCTAAGAGCAAAATTGTAAACGACAAGCCTAAATTTCCTGTTGCCTCCGATGACAACGTACAAGCAACATTAATACCAACTGATGAGTTATGCAAAGAAAGGCCGGTTCTACTAGTCTTGAATGGTAATCAGCAAGAGAGATTTCCGAATATGACTATGAAAACAGCCATCATTAAGATTTCTGACTTACGGAACATTCTAACGAGTTCTCCTGGAAACAAACAGTTATTAAGCATTGGTTTTCCGAGCGCATTCTTGGACAATTTATAGGACGCGAAGTAGTTTAGATGGCATCGCTTTGATACCATTCGACCGCTAAAATCTCCAGAAAAACTGTTTCACATAGAAACTACAGGAAAACTGCTAAAGTAAAAAAGTGTTTGTGTGATTCTTTCCTAGTAAAATTGCACGGAAGCAATATAGATAAGTGTAAGAGGATTTGTAGGAATTCTAGGCTCTCGACTACAGCTTCGCCGGGGAGATACGTCGCGTCGACAAGTCGGACGAAATAAGTAAGTGTAATTTAGGCAATAAAAAAATTTACTAAAATTGAACAGCAACACTGGTTAGTAAAGTTTTGCTATGGGAAATCGACCTATAATGACGCAAGACTGCCTTTATGAAGGTAAAGCAATAAAAGTAAGCAGCCTCAACGGGTTTACTCTCCCTCTCTCGCTCTCTAGTAAAGGTTTCTAATCTTAGAAAGGATAGACAAAACCAAGAAGAATCATTACTTATTTACGAAGTAAGGATTCATGCTATTCAGAAACGAAAAAACTGAATAAAATAATGAAATACAACAGACCCCAAGAAACTGTGGTTTTATTTTGGTGGGTTGCTAAAAAACGTTCATTGAGGGTCAAAATTAATATTCTGTAAAAATGACGCAGAGAATAATCACTACAATGCACAAATTCAACTCCCTCACAAACGCACAAGTAGCTGTTCACTCTTCATATTATGGTGGGGTAGAAAATGATCGAGGCAAAACCTCAAAATATGGAAGAAAAACCTCAGCTATTTAAGAAATCATAAGATTATGAACCACCTTAATAAATCAATGCTATCTTAAGTAAGACGATTTCAATGGACCATTAAGACTGCTTGTCGAAATCAATGGCGACTCCACAATGCACTTCCTGCCGCTTCTCTTGCGCATTTTACGAGTGAATTAAAAATAGGAAGACGCAATCGTTGCAATAAATCTTATCACGGTTTGGAACTCATTAATCTCTCCATAGGGAAGACCCAAAACCGCTCACTTGCGTGCCTAATGGCGAATAGTCGGAGTCGGAAATCACAATAAATTTGGAGTCGGTAAAAAGCGGATGTGAATATACTGAAGTAACTACTCCTGATATATAAGAACCTCGAATCCCCTAATGTAAGGGAAAATCTAAAGTACTAATCAAATCAGTAGGACGGAAAGACTATCAGCAAAATGAATCAGAATGCAGAATTTGTCAGCGTAAAAAATATGTAGAAGCATTGTCTACTGAATAAAATATAAGTAAAAGTTATCTCACCCCTTGAATTTCCCATCCCTTCGACAACGCATAAGTATAGTTTCAGCCCTAGGAAAGATTGTTTTCAGCCGATCTAGGGTAGTGGAGAAGGGAATGTTTGTAACATCGAGACAGAATTCAATTGAAGCGAGTTTGACAGGGGCGACTCTGGAAACTGTAGCACGAGGTCGAACAAAAACTACCAAGGGCTACAATGAAAGTAAAGCGAAGAATCAAATGCAAATGCGCGAAAGATAATGATGCTTTAGGTAGAGGAAACCACAGCCACCTTTTGGCCACCATATGTATATGACTGCAAAGCGTTGAAAGCCTTTGAGCAATCCTCTTCAGTGGAAAAAGTAAGAAGAGCGTTCTTTAGACCAAATCGAGTTGATAGGGTGAGGCTTTTAGGAGTTAAAGGAAGAGATTTCTTGAAAAGAACATATCTGGCGTTCGCCGGCAGACCCTTAAGAAGTACGCTTTTGGTGAGTCCACGAAGCTCTTCATTCGATTTTGGAGGAGTGGTGTTCAATCCACCCTTGTTCGCAATCTTGCTCATGGTCCTCAAAGCGCATACAGACTAAAAATTTATCTAAAAGATTAATGAAGGGAAATAAAGTTACTTGAAAAATTAAAGTAACATGAAATGTGCAAGAATGGCACTCCGAAATGAGGTGAGATATATAGCTCCTTTCCCAATGAAGACAAAGGATTTGAATACGGGAAATTACTAAGGAACCTTGGTTAGCAGTGGCCCAAACATCAAAAAGAGCTAATAAACATCACTGGAAAGCACAGCACATGTAAAACTAGAACGGTTGTATTGAAGCTTTAAATAACTCCAAGTGCATTGCTTGGTGCTAGCATCATACAGAGAACCGAAAAAATGTAGACTTTAACTTCTGCCAAAACCAAACATAATTGATCAATAATTTAATAAAACCAAAAGATCACCTTTGAATCTCAAAAGCACAGCGAGGGACCTTTGAATACGGCGCAGCACTTTATAGCATGATAAACAATTGTTATAAGTAGAAATTTTCTGATTCAGGCATATTTGAAGTAATAACTCATATTTTGAATTCAAATGACAATATCTTTGAATGTGATTCTTATTACTGCGTACTAAAGCATGCAAATTCTTTGTTTAGTCTGTGAACGATTGATCAGATAAGCGACGTCAAAAGATGCAGAGGAGTCAATAAAAGCAGGTAAATTATTTAATACCATGGATTACAAATTATGCCTTTTTGTGTAAAGAGTGCCAATCTATCAGTTGCTTGCGTAGTTATTCGTCTGTTCCCCATCGGGTTTCCGTCGAGATCATTAAAATATCCATACTGTCTTTGGGGCTATAAATTGTAATGTTCAACTTATGTGACTACATGACGTCTGACGGCCACTTTAGGATTTGTCTGACCCTTGTAATCGTGGGCTGGCCTTCGGGCCATGCTCAGGCCCATTTGCTCTGTTTTCTTCAGAATACATGCATCTAGCCTCACTCTCTTCCTTCTTCCACCCTATGGGAAGTCTCGGGACGCCAAATAAATAGTCTCAGGAGCTTGCCATACGCCGCTACTTTGCCCCTTTCCATGGTATGCTTATAGCGTCCCGAGACTTCCAACCGAGTGAAAGAAAACAGTAAGTGGAGCTGGATGCAAGGATTCCATGGAGGACAAAGGGATCAGGCCTTAGCATGGCCCGAAGGTCAGCCCACAAGTACAAGTGCTAGGCAAATCCTAAAGTTAACACGCATACCATAATTAAGTACCATGCATTTTGAATCAAGAAGGAGGTCTTTGAAAACTATTGCATTATTTATATTTTATCAAAGCTTTATGTTAATTAACGTATTGTGACCACCTGATGTCTGGCTGTTGCTTTGGTATTCGTCTGGCCCTTATACCCATAGGCTAGCACACAGGTCTATCTCATGCTTGCTCCCTTTTCTCCCCTTAGAATACATTTTTTTCAGCTGCATTTAATGTCTTCCTTCACCCAGTACAAGCAAATGCTAGAATTATAATGCATGACTTCGCCAAACTCTACGTTTTTTCTTCTCACTTATTATTAGTGATTTTTGGCCCTTAAAACACCGTCATGTGTGCTTACCATGTACCCACCCCTAGACATCTCTGCAGCACCCAAAGATTTTCCTTAAGTAGAAGGAGACATCGTGCTGGACAGAATATATGCGTTCCAATGAGAGAGAGATAGGACTTTGGTATGTTTCGAACGCCAGCCCATGCCTGAAATGGCATCAGACATTGGGTGATCACGTGACCAAAATATTGCAGTGCCTCTCCTTTCCTCTAAATGACATCCCCGGCAATCTCTTTGGTGCACCGTGTAGCGTCCCAAGACTTCCTACCCAGTTGAAGAAGGCAGTAAGGGAAGCTGAAAACATGCATTCGAAATAGGGCAAAGCAGATGAGCCCGAGAATGGCCCAAAGGCCAGCCCACGTGTACAAGAGCCAGATAAATCCTGGTGACCACCGAGTGTCAGGCAGTCAAATAAGTAAGGTACTGCACACCCTTCAAGCCAGCCGTCCAAGTATCTGGCACCACGAGGAAACGTCTACAAGCCAGACACACCAGTCATCAGCTACCATGAGACTGCTCTTTTTCCTCAGAGCCTAACTGGATCTGGAGTTGCGTTAGATCTTAGTGTCGTAAATCACTATAGAGAATTTCTATTGGCCATCAGTGGGTTTTACAACTAGACGCTGCAACACTATTCCAAAACAAATGTTTAACGGGGAAGACGGAGCCGAACAGTCCCGTATGGAAGGGAATTAGTGGTTGTATCGTCTCCTACATTTATGCTCGGATATAGTAAGGGAATTCCGGTACACAACAAAACCCGAGGGTACACGGTAGTGTCGCTTTGGTTGCTAATAGCTTTTCTGCAGCATACGACGCAGACGACGAAACGCAGACATCATTCTCACTCCTTCCATTATGCGGAATTCCAATCTTCCCCACCTGATGCAAATGCATTTCCCCTGCACCGTAGAAGCATGTCATAAGTTGGGAGCACTAGAATAGAAATTATTTCACAAGCTGAGTTCGTTTTTCGCCGTGACCAGTGTAGTGCCTTGAAGATTCTCTAAGATGGAACAATGCACCACGTGGGACGAAATACATGTCTTCTAAACATCAAAAAAATAAATCGTAGGATCTTGACATGGCCTAAAGGCCAGTTTACGCTTGCGAAGACAAAACAACCACCAAGCTAACCACCAGATATTAAAGCTTCAAGTTGCCAGGCGTTTTGCTCCTATTGAAGCGCGAAAAACATTAAGCTCGACTTAACTTCATGTATTCTGAGAGATTAGGGAGGGCTTCGGCCTTGGCCTAGCCTAAAGGCTCGATTTTCCACAAAGGCAATTAGGATTGCTTACGTCTAGTTATTGAGCACTCATTTTCTCTGCAGAAGTATAAATTTGTTACACAAGTAGTGGCTTTGAATATGGAGCGGTCTTACGTGACTTTGCTTTCAGATAAGGATAGTATAAATAAATGTATATACGCATATATAACGTAGTCGAAGTTATCAAGTATAGCATTTTCTTGAGCCTATCTTAGCTAGATGATCCGAATTCTTTTTCTCGACTATTGAAACAGAATCAAAAAGGCTTAGAAGTTTGCGGTTCGTAAAGTTATATATATGTGATTGTTTATTGCACCCTAACTATAACCTTGAGCATCAGCACAAAATTGTGCCTATTTTGAAGTTGCGCCCGTTTTCTGTCGGTGCGACAGAGTTTAGGCGGAAAATGAGCAGTGAAGTTCGATCAAAAAAATTTAGCGTCATTTCATTCGTGGGAAAGACACCGACGAGTCGAGACCATGTAACAGAGGAGACAAAAATAGAGGAATGTAAGTTGGCCCTCCTCACCATAAACATCAGCTTTTAATTTTTCCTACTTTGGTCCCCCCTAGGATATCCCGTTTGTATATTCTCAGCCTTCTTTGTTAGGTACAGCACAAGTAAAACTAAGTGGAGATCCGTGCTGCAGCGTCTTGCATCACGTCCTCGCAGGCCTAAATCCTGAACAATTATTTAAATCCCTTCTGCTTTATTAAGTTTTGTTAGAATACATTCACCTTGTTGGACACTGAGTATTTTTATTCATGACTAACTCTGTATTTATGAGGCTTTTGGTATCTTTTTGTTACTGTACATTGCTTCTGCTTGTCTTTGTATTGGTTCGATTTTTAGCATCTATTTACTATGTCAAGTCGCTTAATGCGCATGTCCTTCAACAAGGGAAGGCTTTTGTTTGTTATTAAAATAAAAACTTTATGTCATTAAGTACAACATCAGTTTTCCGAATTTAGCTTAAGGTAGAATATTTCTGTTATCTTTCGGACAGTTTCCGATTCTCAACTTGTAACTGGTTCTCGTTTGTTGACAGCATTATTACTTGTTATTGCTTGATAGCTTCCTTGTTATATTACTGTTAGTTTTGTCTAATCCCTTTCATCCCATCCTTTGACCTTAAAATAGCATTGTTACTGTTTGCATATATTCGTATCGAAAACGTCTATGCATACATGTTTAAATAAGAATACCTCTAGTCGTTGTCTTTGTTTATAAAATTTGTAGGTAAAATACGAGGGTGTTCTTTAATCTACATTAAAGTTGATTAGTAGTTATTCTTTGGTTCACTAAGTGCGAATTTGTTATTGGCTTTTATTGGATGACCATTTACTTTAGTTCCAGAAAGTAGCCCAATTGATGATGTTGTGGTTCCCATTGATGACGATATCGAGGGAATGGACGAAGATGGCGGTCTTGGCCTTTATGAAGTAAGTTCTATCATTGCAAATTTGAACGATGAACCCTTCTTTTCCCTAGTAATAATTTGTAGAGGCCTCTATTTGAAACGAGTGATTCCCTTCGCCTGGCTCTTCCTTTTAGTTGCCGTTTTACTCCGTATTAGTGCATTTATTCTGCCAAGTCTTGTCAAAATTTTTGCATCTGCGCGCATTCTATGTACGCCTGACATTTCTTTAAGTAACCATAATCCCACTTTCCTTTAAAACGTTTTTAAAGTCATTCGAGTTTCCTTTCCTTGCCATGACTTTCCATCACGAGCATTACCGAAGGTAAAAACGACGTCAAGACTAGCAACATTAGGCGTATTCTTAAAAGCCTGTTCCTTTTCCCTCTGGAAAAGGTTTTCCAATGCACTCCTGACAGTTCGAACATGGTTGATTTATTGCTGGACAAAATGTGCAAGCTCACAAAAGAGTCACTTGATCCCCCTTAAACAAGGAATAATGAAATGGCATAAATTTGGGTGATTATGTGGGAAGTTAATTAATAAATCAATTTATTGAACTGAATAATTAAATTTGCTGATGAACATGACCTTTTCGCATCAACTGCAGTGATGGACGATCAACGCCTATTTTACTGGAAAAAAAGTCATTGCTCCTCCATCTTAACACTAACTGTCATCGACTTCCACTCATTTTTTCTTTTCTATTTTCTATAGAATAACTCGACAGACCACGTTCTCAACTTCAATTTTGTTTTACATTGGTTCT